AATGTATCTTGCTTTTTGTTTTCTTTAGACTAGCTCTCACTATGAACCTATGGCTAGCTTGGAGTTCACAGAGATTCACTAGCCTCTGCTTCTGAAGTTTTGGGATTAAAGGTGTGGCTACCACCCCGTCTCAATGCAGTTTTGATTTGCATTTGTATGAAGGCTGGTAAAGAATATTTTTATGATTATTAACAATCCATGTTTAGTGCTAGCCTCAGTGACTGTCAGTGATTCAGCCTGCTTCATTAGTCCGTTTACTGATTGAATTGTTTGATTTCTTGTTGCTTGGTTGTTTTTTTAAAATTCCTTGTCTATTTCAGATATTGGTCTTCTGTCCGTAGTATAGCTAGCAATTGCCTCCCATTCTATAGGCTGTCTCTTCACCCAATAAACTGCTTTCTTTGCCATGTAGAAGGCTTTTAATTACATTCGATCCTGTTTGTCAATGTTGGTCTTATTATTTCCAAGTGAAGGGGACCCACTCAGAAAGTTCTTGCCTGTGCCTATTTCTTAAAGTGTTTTTCTTACTTTTTCCTCTAACAGTTTCATAGGTTCAGGTCTTATATTAAACATACCAGGGATTTGTAAAACACGTTTGTGATATTGTTAAACACAGCATGGAGAAATATTAAGGAGAAAAAGAAAATTTCTTACCATGTATGAAATAAGAACATTCACAGGTAAAGCAAAATCAGTAGGTGTCACAAAATGCCAACATTAAAATTGGCAGCAGATCTGGAAAGCTCCTCACCCCACCACAGTGCTTTAAAGAAAGAAGCTAAACCTCCTTTGGCTGGGGACAGCTTTGATTCTTAGCTGGGCTCTCCTGAGTGTATAGTGGTTTCTGTGTAGTGGGCTAAAGGTCTGAGTCACTGAGATGGGCACTCCATCTATGATGGACATACACAAACCACCAGTTTGCTAACTAACCATTACTGCCTATGCAGTAACAGGGACAAATGTTCAATGCCAGCCATCTATCTTGGTAACACCATTTGGGCCATGTGCTATGACAATGTCCACAGAAGAATGAGCCAGATAAAGGGTTAGTTAGTCCTGCTTTTAAGCAGGACTGTACCACCATTGAGATAAGAACAAATACACAAGAGAGACATGAGTCTAAACTACATTGTGTGACAGCAACTCCAAACCGTACCCATGGTGTAGGGCAAGCCTGCTACTCCCAAGAGTGAGGCAGTATATCTGAAGCCTATGTCCCTAGAAGCTGTCTGGATCACTAACACAGCTCTTCTGAGTTGCAGAAAAAAGAAACTAATTTTAAACTGGGCCTACTATGAAGCCTTTCAGAGAAACCTTCAGAGATGAGGTTCTTCCCCGAGCATCTGAGTTCAACTGCCAGCATTCATGTGAGGTAACGTACAACTACCTTTAACTTCAGCTACAAGGGATACAATACCTTCCTTCTGGCCTCTGTGAGCATCTACACTCACATGTATATACCTGTGGTGGTGGCTGAATAAGTATGGCACGGAAAGACCATAGGAAGGGGCACTATTAGGAGGCTGGAATAGGTGTAGTCTTGGTGGAGAAAGTGTGTCCCGTGGGAGAGGGTTTAGAGGTCTCCTATGCTCAAACTATGCTCAGTGTGGCTCGCAGTCACTTCTGCAGGCTATGGATCAAGATGTAGATCTCTCAGCTTCGTCTCTAGCATCATGTCTGTCTGTGTGCTGCCATGCTTCCTGCCATGATGACAATGACTGAACCTCTGAAACTGTAAGCCAGCTCCAATTAAATGTTTTCTTTTATAAGACTTGCCATGGCCATGATGTCTCTTCACAGCAACTAAACCTTAACTAAGATAATACACAAACACAAACCAAAGATAGATACAATTTAAAATAAAATTTTAAATAGTTTATTAAATTTATTTTGTATAAGGGGATATATATACATGTGTATCCGTGTGAGTGAGACTGTGTATGTACGTGTATATATGTGTGTGTGTTTTCCAGAGATTGATGTTGGGTATCTTCCTCTATTTTGCTCACTTATTTTGTGACAGGGTCTCTTATTGAACCTGAAGCGTTGATTCAACTATGCTGGCTAACTGGTAAATCCTCAGTATCCTTCTGTTTCTGCCACCCTAGCACTGGAATTACAGGCAAACAGTATGGCTTAAGTCTTTGTATATGTGTACTGGGGATCTGAACTCAGGTCCTTGTACTCACAGAGCACGTACTTTATCAACTGAGGTATCTCCCCGGCCCTTAAATTTGTTTAGAATTTATTAGTGCTCTTACCACAAAATGAGTTGGAAGACAAAACCTGATCCACTAACACCAAAGAAGATGTTAAGCAGGCAACTTAGAAAAGGATATCAGCTCCCGTAGCGGCATATTTTCCCCATAAGTTGGGAAGAGCTAAGGTGGGAGGAGTAAGGAGAAGAGGAGGAGGAATAAGAAAAGGAAGAGAAGGAAGAGGAGGAGCTAGGAGAGAGGATGACAGGGAGGGGGGAGGGGGGACCCACATGGCAGCGGATGTTCGCATGTTTCTAGCAGTCAAAGGTAGTTGATATATCTAGGTTGGGTACTGGGTTACACTTCTGATTGTGTGGGCATCTTGTTATTGAGCATTACCAAACAAATAAAGCCTTTGGATAATCTAAGCATTAGAGTCACATTTCTACTGGGCCCCCATGGATGGTGGGATGGTCTGGGCCCAGCCCAGCCTTGTGGAGACAGTGTGGAAGATTGGCAGAGCCATCTTCCCACGCTGGTCTTGTGGGTGGCAGGGCCAGTGTTTCTGGCTGGCCCTAGTTGGGGCATGCCCATGGCCTCTGGCCGCTTCCAGCTGTAGAGCATGGTGGCCTGCGCTAAGCTGAGCCAGCTTGAGCTAGGCAGAGCTGCCACCACACAGATGGTCCCCTGATTAGCCCCTCTTTTTGAAATATTACTGCAACATGTTCCAACCATCCAAAATAGACAAAGGTGAACTGAGCTTTGTAGACTGTCAATATGTGGGATGGAGAGTGACATCTAAGTTGTCCCTAATGTCAGAGCAAATTGTCCCCGAAAAAACAATTATAATTTAACTTCCATGTTACTTGTTCCACATAACCCCACCTCCATTAAATCAGGAATTTACACAGAGGTGAGACCCAGACAGAAGTCTAAGCTGAGAAACAGATACATCTGAACCAAAGCACAGTATTTACCCAGCAAGTCGTCTACTAAATCGGTATCTAAATATTTATTCATGTATTTTATGTATGGGTACTTTGTCTTCATGTACTTCTGCATACCAGAAGACTACATTAGGCAGTGAGATGCCATATGGGTGCTGGGAATTGAACTCAAGACCACTGGAAGAGCAGTGAGTGTTCTTAACCACTGAACTCCAGGCCCCTCAAATAGGTTATCGAAAAGCCCTGTTTGGGTGTAACAAGGGAGCCAACATTGGGTAATTTAGTCATTTCTCCCAGCCTTAATTTCTCATCTATAAAACAGAGGATTGTTTTATATATATATGGTTCTTTTGAAGTATAAAATAAGGAAAGATTCTGGTACATGTCAAACTTTGTTATAATGTGGATTCAAATTCTGTTATATCCTATTTGAATCTGTTATCTGAGATTATTTTAAGTGAATCCTGTTTATTCATAACAATCTATAATAATGTTATTTCTATCAAAGTTTCCTAAATAAACCTCTTTCTCTCCAAAAAATTAGGCCCTAAACAGAAGTTTCAGAAATCAGCCTAAATTGGTAATGTCACAACTATACATAACTGATATAGCTTCTGCCTATGGAAGAACCACAGGACATAAGCCAAGACATTAATTTGGTCACTGTAGCCTAGATTTGTAGTATGTGTATGTGGTAATGGCCATCCATGTACATCCTACTCTACTACTCTTTGCCTTATTCCTTAGAAACAGGACATCTCACTGAACTAAGAGGTCAGCAGTTGGGCTAGCAAGCCCTAGCAATCCTCCTATGTACACCCTCTACAGTATTAGGAATGTGTAGCACCACCCAGCTTGCCTGTCTATGGACTTGCATTCAGGTGACTAATCTCCCTATCTCTATACTTCTTTGCTTTGTCTCAGGACTGGCTGGAACTGCAATGGGTACCATGCATTATCTGGCACAATTTGGGAGGCTGAGGGCAGGTGGTTATAGGGAGTGTTTATATCTGAAGAAGAGAATAAACTTTGTCAACAGGGGGAGAAAATGTATACATCATAGAATTTGTGCCTGAGGAAGTAGAACTATTCTTCCATGAGCACCCTGAAGTGACAGGCCTGGCCAATGAACCTGAGCACTGACAAGGTAAGTACATCAAGTAATGCCAAATCTGGACCTCACAGAAATGGGATGTCCTCTGGTAATCTCTAGCCAACATCAGCAAAGAAGTGTATGGACAGGAAAGCATGCTCAACACATATCTGTGTGAACCCAGCAACCATGTGTGAGACAGGAACTGTTTTCCTGTGTTGTTATCTTACCGTCTTAGGACAGTTTCAGTATTTATTTACCTCCAAAGTATACAAAAGGGCTCTGCTGCCCTAGTCTGTGGGGAGCACTGGCCTCATACTAGTAAACAGACATAACAGTCAACATGCAAGGAACCTTAGCCCTCACTGTGAGGTCAGCTAGCTGGACTTTTCTTAGGGAAGCTGAAGTAGACTTTGCTAAGATAATGTTTGGATCTGTTCTTGAAAACCAACAGCCTAGCTGTCTACAGGGAGGCCAAAAGAATGCCTGAGTCCTTACTAAGAGTCTAGGACATCAAATGTGAGCTTTTCTCCAGATTATGGCTGCTCAGACTAAGAATAGGGCTCACTGTCCCCAGGGAAACTTGAAGACCAGGTGAAAAGGGCTCACAGACAGAAGCAAAGGCCAAGGACAGCAATGGCAACCACCTCCTGGGGGGACAAAAACCAATCAGAAAACCAATCCTAACTCTCTTGAAATCTACCAGCTCTTTGCCTGGAGCTCAGACTGGCTACAGCAAAGCCCCTGCCCACAAGCTGTTACCTGCTTCCCCTTCACCACATGCTTGGGCACTGGCACCCTGACCTCCAGGTCAGTATAGTCTTGTGACCAGGTGTAGTTCTCACGGATGGCACCGTTGTAACTGTCAGGATTTCTCTGGAACTGCTCCTGAATCCTGAGAAAGAACAAGAAAATTAAGATGCACTAGAGAAATCTCAGAGCAGCTTCACATGTGCTAGTCCTATGTCTTGAAGAAATCACAAAAACACACACACACACACACCACACACGTGCGCACGATAACTTGCTTTCTTTTGGAGCAATTTCCTTTGTGACACTTATATGTGGTCTCCCAGGAAATCACAGTTCTGCTTATTGTCAGTTCAGAACTAGCCCTGTTAAGTAGACAAATAGCTTGGTTAAGAAAATCCCTGGCTCATGAGCACTGGGTGTGTCTGATGAACTGCTAAGTAGAACTTATCCTTTTCAAACAGGCAAAAAACTCCATCCTGCAGCTGTTTGACTTCAATCCTAACCCAACACTAAGCCTCTCTTTCCTCCTAGTAAGTAAATCAAAGCCACCAAGACTGCATTAAAACTGCACATCATTAGTAAGAGGTAAGCAATTCATTTAATGAGATGGGCAAAAAAAAAAAAAAAAACCACACACACAAAAAAAAAAAGTCAACCAAATCTTATTACGTACCTCCATTACAAACCTAGCACAGGTACAAAAAGGCCTAGCCAGGAAGCAGATGTTGATGATAAATACAAAATCTATCATAAAATTTAGCTATGTTAAATCATATAAATGCCTTAAAGATGAGACTAGACTCACAAGTCCACTAAGTGAGTTGAGGATTTAATTCACAGATAAAAGCCTTTGTCCAGAGAAGGTAGCAGAATATTCTCAAGCAGATGTGGCTCAGCAGTCATCTTAAGAGTCTACTCAAACAGCAACAGACAAACTGAGGCAGGCAGGGAGCTCTACACACTGTAAGGTATGTTTGTGGTTCTGCTCATTCCAGAAAGCACAAAGTTGCCGGGCAGTGGTGGTGCACGCCTTTAATCCAAGCACTTGGGAGGCAGAGGCAGGTGGATTTCTGAGTTCGAGGCAAACCTAGTCTACAGAGTGAGTTCCAGGACAACCCAGGATATACAGAGAAACCCTATCAAGTTGCAAGTGCCTAAATTTGTCTCGACACAGAAACAAGACCAGGATTGGGGAAGAGGTAATTGAAGGGGACATGGTTTTCTCACTCAAGTTTTAAGAATATCTTGGGGCTGAAGAGATGGCTCAGTGGTTAAAGAGCACTGGCTGTAACTTGCAGAGGACCAGGGTTAAATTCCCAACACTGACATGGCAGCTCACAACTCCCTATTAACAACAGCTCCAGGGGATTCAACACCCTTACACAGGTGTGTGTTCGTGTGTGCGCTTGCGCACACGGGGGTGGGGGGGACACCAATGCCTATAAAATTAAAGAATAATTTTTTAAAAAAGAATACTTTTACTCATGGTATGTGTACTTTTGTGTCTGTCTATTTAAGAGACTGGGCCTCCAACATGCCCTGAAATCTCAGGACTGGATAAGAGAAGGCTTCTGAAGGTAAATTGTGTCCTACCAAATGATATCCTTGAGTCTTGACCCCTGAAGCCTCAAAAGTGATTCAGTTATAAGCAGGCCAATTAAGGTGGGCCCTCACCCACTCTGTTCCTCAAGTGGAGACTTTAACACACACTTGTCTAGGAAAGGGATGTAAAGTGGCCATGAGGAACAGGCAGAGACTAGAACGATGGAACAAGAACTGTGGGCCAGAAGCATCCTTCTTCCCTACAGCTTCAGGAGTGAGAGCCAATCCACACCTGACCCCAGATATCTGTCATTTAAGCTTTGATGTGGCTGCACAAGCAAGGTAGCTAAGGAAATTCACTTCCAACAGATGTAACTTAAAACTTCAGCACTCAATACTGTGAAGATCAATCAGCATGGACACAAACTGGAGACCATCTGAGGGGAGGCACTGTGCAGCACAGAGAACACACAGGAACTGAGAGCCAGAGGACACCTGGCTTGATGATTTGACAAAGCCAAGCAAGATGAAGGCACCAAAACAAGGAAAACATACAGAACACATCAAGTATTTACTACGTTAGACTAGTGGTATAGGAAAACCTTTCAACACAACAAAACCTGAAGGGGTTAAAAAAGGATATATAACTTCTCCATCCAGTATTGTCTCAGCTTTAGAAAGAGGAAATGAGCATACATACATAAGCAGGTTTGATTTTTGTGATAAGAGGGGGTCTGACCTCTTTGCTTCCTTAGGTAATATCCAAATTCTCTACAATATGCAAACATTTTAGCCAAGAGAATACCAACTACTTCTACAAGCACAGACTGGAGTGAAGATGTACCTGTGGCCCCAGGATCCAGTGCAGTAGCCTCAACCCAGCCCCTAGAGTCTCCTGAAATTGAGTAGAGAAACAAGCACAGCCAACAGTGCTGCCCAGCAGGTCACCAAGCTTCCACTGGGCCCTCCCACATGAACCCCACTTGTAGTACTAGGCTCATACTGGACATGGGCACACATGAATATGGGGTGGTATCTATGAAAATTAAAAGAATAGCAGGGTAACAGTGGCTACCTCTACAGCTGGGAAGTAGGGAAAAACAGATCCCCCCTGACAGTCCTATCAATATTATCATGTTAAAATAGACAAAACTATGAAAACAAGGGCTAGAGAGAGATGGCTCAGCGGTTAAAGAGTACTTCTTGCTCTTGCAGAGGAACTGGTGCCACATGGTGGTTCATAACTATCTGTGACTCCAGTTCTATGGAATCCAACTTGCTCTTCTGACCACTGCAGGTATATGGTACAGTTACAAAAGCAAAACACTAGTACACATAAAATAAATATTTTTAAAAGAATATGAAAATATAAATACCTTTCCACATAAAATTAAAACCAAAATGGCCCTAGCACTTCACAGAGATCAGTGACTAAGTACAAAGAAGAGCCTGGACTAGCTAGGAAAAAGGCTCTGGATGGCCGCTCTAACAAATCAGCTCCTCATGCAAACATCAGTATGGCATATGAACTCAATTCTTCAGGAAAAAGGCTGCCAGTCTCTGCCGGACCCCTTATTAGGTCCTCAAGCTCTGCATGTCCATTAGGGGCTCTCTATTTGTTGCCTGGGACCTGCTGGTCTATCTTCTTCCCACTATGTCCAGACAGACCCCAGGTTCCCTAGCATGGGCCTCACAGCAGGCAGGAAAATTGCTCCTAAAACAGCCCTAGCAGGTTGCTTGTTACTTTTTATAGCACTCTGAATTCACATTCTCTTTAAATAAAGTTGATTATTTCCAGACAACAGTATGTAAAAATGTGTCCTATCAAGTGCAGGTGGCTCTGAGCCCCACCCAGCAAATCCAAGGCCACCCCTGCAGCTGTGGGCCTACAGCAGGAGGCAGGGGAGGAGGGATGAGCAGCAGAGCTTCAGCATCAGGGTGGGAGTGAGACGGTGAGTCAGCAACCAAGTCTCACTGCAGCTCCCACTCTGTTCCTAAGGAGCACGGGACAAGAAGGCTCTCGACAAAGAAAAAGAGAACACAGGCTCCACATCCTGCTGGGCACTATGGGACACACAAGCTCTAAGTCTCCTTGAAGACACAACAGTTTTGACCGCTAAACAGTTCCCAGCAGGCCTAGGCACCAAAGTGGGGCAAGCCAGGAAACTAGAATCACCTGCAATAGTGAGTGTGGCAGATACTGTCATGAGAAACCATCACTGTCTCAGGGAATAGGAACAAGACTCATGCCTGGGCAGAAGCCCAACCTACTTTATCAGCTTGAAGCCGTCACTCAAACCAAAAGGACCTCTCTCCTTCTGTCTGCTCTTTTTCAATGGTAGAGGCTGAACTCTCACTGAACTAACCTTAAGCTTCTCCTTTAGTTTGTTTTTTAAAAAACAAAGGCTCAGAGACAATTTGGGGTTTAGAATAACTAGTAGAACATATGATAAAAGGTAAATAAAGGAGACTAAATCCTTAACCTTAAGGTTTTTGTACAAGATAGAATCCCAAACTCAATGGGTTATATGCATTGCCCTCATTTCTTTCCCAAGAAAGGATGACTACAGGAGGCATTTGTTACAAGATGGGAGGGAATTGGGGGATTGGCTTCCCAAGGTCACAACTAGAGCAGAGGTGGAGCTCAGAGCTGCCAGGTCATCCCTCTCCCTAAGGGAGCAGAACCAGTCTTTTACTCCTCTTAAATCAATACCGTCTGTGATCCTGCATAATGTGATCAAAGATCATTGACACTACGCTTGGGTGGCAATGTCCACCACCCTTGCCCGCCTCAGTCAATCCAGATATAGTGAACCATACCTCACCACACTCCTATTGCTGTCCATTTGGTCATCAGAAGAGGGACCCTATGTATGTGCTATGGTCTGAAAACTATATCCTTCCAAAATTCATGTGTCAAGTTGCCATAACAGCTTCAGAAAGTGGGGTTTGGAAAGGCTGGTGAAAGGGATGCAGCCCCATGAATTCTCATTCATCTCTCGTGTCCTTATTAAAAGGCCCTTAAAGAGACCCCTTGCTTTTTCACCATGTGAAGACACAGAAAACATTGTATGTGAGGAGCGTATCACCAAACACTGAATCTGCCAATGACTGGATAGTAAACTTTCACCATCTGAAACTCAGAAACAGAGTCTTGTTGTTATAAACCAACCAGTTTATGGCTTTTTGTTATAGCAGCCTGAATAGGCTGAGACAAAGCGTATGCACATACACACAGCACCAATGTGATATGTGCACATTTGGGGCACATCTGTAGATGGACATGCCACAGGTATGAGGGAGTAAGCAGAAGGTAGTTGTTCCCAACTTTATGTATTCTCTCTTTCTGTCACTCTCTGTCTCTCTGCCTGTCTCTGTCTCTCTCTGTCTCTCTGTCTCTCTCTCTCTCTCTCTCCCTCTCTCTCTCTCTCTCTCTCTCTCACACACACACACACACACACACACACACACATCAAGCCAGTGTGACCATGTGGACCGCAACAACTTTCAGGGCTGTGACTTCATCAAGGTATTCGAGAGAATCAGTTAGTCATCAGAGTCCTCATTTCCCATTCTCCTTCTATAAAGGATTCTTCCTTC